CCCATTTAGATGTTTTTTTTTCTTTTTTAATTTCCCAAATGATGTTTAACAGAGCAAGGAAATTTTCACAGTATCTCAGATAATATTTTTTCTTCCGGAGAAAGTCTTATTTGTTTTATTTCGGCGAGAATAAAAGCAGTTTTTAATTTTTTATAAACTTTTTTGGGACAAAATTATTAGCCCCTTTAAGATAATTTTTTTCGATAGTCTACAGAACAAACCATCATTATACAATAACTTGCCCTATTACCCTAACCTGCCTAGTACACCTTATTAACCTAGTTAAACATTTAAATGTCACTTTAAGCTGTACAGAAGTGTCTTGAAAAATATCAAGTAAAATATTATTTACTGTCATCATGACAAAGATGAAATAAATCAGTTAGTAGAAATAGGTTTCTAAAACTATTATGCTTATAAATGTGCTGAAACAATCTTCCCTCCATTAAACAGAAATTGGGGGAAAAAAATAAAAAAAAGTCAGGGGGGCTAATAATTCTGACTTCAACTGTGTGTGTGTGTGTGTGCGTGTCTGTGTGTGTGTGTGTGTGCGTGTGTGTGTGTGTGTGTGTGCGTGTGTGTGTGTGTGTGTGTGTGTGTGTGTATGTATATATATATATATATATATATATATATATATATATATATATATATATATATATATATGAGCAATATTACACTCGTAGCAGTGCGATATGGCTGTATATCGGCACTGGTGTGGGCACTAAGGCACTCGTCCTGCGGCCTCATGCCAACGCACGCCTCTCACCACTGCTACGAGTGTAATATTGCGTTTATACAACAGTTTGATGGCATAATTATGTATATAAAAACAAAATCCAACATGGAGAGTCTCAAACCCTTTTGTATGAGGAACTACATTCTTCCGCGTTCATAAGCTGACAGTTAAACAGCTGAGCAAGCATCTTTTAAACTTTAGATCTGTAGTGTCTGCTTGTTGCTGGCTGTATGTGGGCGGAGTAACACACAAAGGGTAAAGAGGCTGTACTGTGCTGATATTACTTAAATATATCACAGCTATCAGCCAATCATATTCGAGAACCAGACAGAACTGTTGTATAAATATATATATATATATATATTAAGGGTGTCACGATCTTCCAAATTCTCAATTCGATTACATTTTCAATTCTAAAGGCACAATTCGATTTTCGATTATGAATAATTAATTAATTAATGACCAATTAATTATTTGTAGCCTACCTTTTAAACTACCTGACCTGCATGGTCTTTGTTTTACCCATAAACAAATCATACAGTAAATGAATAAAGGCAAGATACACACATAATTACCACCTGTCAATCACTTTTTCTGCGGGACTCGTGAATAGGCAGTGATCTGTGTCGTTATAATGGCGTCGGTAAAAAAAAGACGCACAACCAACAGGAACCAGCCAACAGTATCTGAGGTGTTCGCTAAAATGACTAAGTACAAGTGAGTGAAAGATTGAAGCAGTCTACTGATCCTCTGACTGCCTCAACCCGCTGTCTCGAGCGGCTGTGTGTGTGCGTCTGTGTCTGTGTGTGTGTGTGTGTCAGAGGTAGAGAGGAAGGAGGGCTGCTCAGAAATGCTACACGCCACTGTGGATGTCAAATCGTTGTCGTTCTAAAATGCCATTTAAAAACAAAGACAGTGTAAACAGGGCCTGAGTGTGTACTTTTCGCGAGCGGATTTGCAACGGGGGCGGGCGGAGGATCGCGATGCCAGTGTTGTCTATCGGACGAACCGTACGTAATACGTACATAGCAGAGCTTGCAAAACTGTGTTTTTTGTCAACAACAGGAACGTTGTCAACATAACTCACTGGAAATCCAAAATGCTTACACACCGGCGACTTCATTGAAAGAGGAGGGGATTTAAGCTCTGTCAACGGGTCTCCTGCTTCTGCAGTGTAACAAGCACTTCAACAAGCCTGTTTTTTCCCGCTTGGCAAGACAAGCTGACGTGACATGGGGGTGTGGCAGCATCGACGATTCTATTAATTCTATTATATATATATATATATAAACATATTTTGTGATATTTCTCCCCTTATGATTTTGACATCTGCTTTTCTGTTTTTCATCCAGGATTAATATCTTATTACAAACATCACAGTGGATATCTGTTATTTTGTCCTCCAGAATAATATTCATTTATATTCATCTTATTGTCAGTGACATTTATGTCAGCAATTGTCACATTAGATTAGTTTTAACATGTCATTAGTATAACAGTAACACCGTCTCAATAACACTGGCTCAGTGTGCAAGTTGTCCAAGCCCTTGTGTGTGACGGCAACAACCTTGACTACTGGAGCTCAGGTCTGGCCAGAGGTCTCACATTTCACTCGATCATCCAGAAATAACCCAAAGGAACAGAGCGGAATATAAAAAGGCTCTCTTAGTTTGACTTGTGTTCAATATGAAGAATGTAGTGTACTGTCATCTAGTGATGCAGCAAAAGATGCATGAGGAAGTTACCGCTGCCACAACAAGCTGTCCACTCATCTGCCACTAAAAACAGCCACTAAAATGACTATTAAATATCTATTAAAAATGTGTAAAATATAAAGAGGACTGAGTCATGCCACTGAGAACTTGAGAGCAGTCTGATTACCTCGGGTGTATTGATTGATGCTATTGTGCATCAGCAGTTTTACCTGCAGAATGAGCAACAGCATGTTTACTGAGATTACCATCTCTTGCTGTGTAATGCCTGCAAAACTGGGTGGAGCGCTGCTTTGTCACCGAGTTTACACATTTCCATTTTAAGAGATTCACTTATCAAAAAGAGGCAGTTCTATAACAACTATTTAATTACTGTAATTATTGTACTGATTCGGGGGCAGCGTAGTGGGTAGTGCTGTCGCCTAAGCAAGAAGGTCACTGGTTCGAGTTTGCATGTTTTCCCCGTTTTAGCGTGGGTTTCCTCTGGGTGCTCTGGTTTCCCCCACAAGTTCAAAGACATGTACTATAGGAGAATTGAGTAAGCTAAATTGTCCGTAGCGAATGTGTGTGAATGGAAGTGTATGGGTGTTTCCCGTTGATGGGTTGCAGCTGAAAGGGCATTCGCTGCGTAAAACATGCTGGATAAGTTAGTGGTTCATTCCGTTGTGGTGACCCCAGATTAATAAAGGGACTCAGCCGAAAAGAAAATGAGTGAATGAATTATGCTAATTCATTTTATTTAATTTTTCATATATACTGCCATGGCTAGAAAGCCCCTTTATCATTATACTTTTATTCCTAATGGGGTTAAAGGGGTAGTTCACCCCAAAAATAAAATTCTGTCATTATTTATTCTCACTTCACTACTAAACTTGAGTTTCTTTCTTCTGTTACACTCAAAAGAATATATTTTTAAAAAAGCTGGAAACCTGTAACCATTGATAGCCATTATATTAGTTTTTTTCAACTACGCAAATCAATGGTAATAGGTTTTAAACTTTCTTCTAAATATCTTCTTTTTGTTCAACAGAAGAAACTCATAAATGTAAATAGTAAATTTTCATTTTTGAGTGAACTATTCCTTTGAATGCAACTTATATTCCATATGTGCTATATATTGCCCTAAAAGTCATAAAAAATATCTACTTGTGATTAAAGGCCCAATTTTTGTTATTCAATTAAAATTATAATCTTTCTAAAATGTTCATGATTTGAGTTGCTGGGATGTATTAAATAAATAATTTGATGTTGAGTTGATAATTGAGTTAATTTCAGAGTCAAACTTTTTTTTCATATTTTTAAGTTTAGGGGAATGCTGGGCACAAAGTGATGCAGGGTAAAATGTAACAGAGTTTTAAGGTATTTGGTCAGGGTTAACCATGGCATGCTTCTGAGATTTTTCACCACAATGTTGGCAAAAGTCTATCTGCCAATTATTGAAAAAGTTTGGCAAAATTTAGATGAGAAACACAGGAGAAACCATTTTTTCAAGGTAAAAGTATTATTGATTATATTCTGTTTTTTATTTAAAAGAAAAAGCTCCGTGAACGTATGTAAATAAAATCTTGTATTTTTGTTGTGATGACCGTCTTCTAGGATAAAAGAACAATTTTGAAAGATGTAAAAAAACAGAGTGACTGCTAGCCAGTTTTACAAATAACAAATAAGCAACACAATGTTGGACACCAATTAAACAAACTGAATGTTGAATTTTGAGTGTAATGTTGAGAACTTTTATATAAAAATGCTTTTTAATAGAAAAAAAATATATAGAAAAGAATTATTTTGTTGCTAATAATGCAAATAAATGCATTGTATAATAATTGATAATAATGCAATTAAATCCAAATGTGTTTAACCAATAGATAAATAAAAAAAACAAGTACTGAGGAAATATATTATTTAAAGTAAACTGAATTTGAATTAATTGTGTGAAATCTGGCTTTTTAAGCATTACAACTAACCCAGCTGTTACAACTTGCCCTGCAGGTAGGCAAAATAGTAATTTTTACTCCTGGTACTTTTGGCAATGCTGCCGTAAACCATGTCTGGTGATCATACTTTCAGTGGTCATTTGTAGCAGAGGTTTGTGTGTAGTTGGTAAAAACTTTGTTCATTATTTGGCCACAACCAAAAAGTGTTACTTTGTGTCCTGCTCTCCCCTAATCAGTTTGATTAATGACTTTTAAATTTAGTTGTTTGGACCATTTTATAAGGTACTTTTATAATTTACTCATTGATCAGATGATAGACTGGAAAAAGTTTGCTTTAAGCCTCCTCACAACTTAAACCCACAAATGATTTGGCTATAGAGATATTGCAACAAATAAAATCTTTTGGATACTGAAACAGGGTGGTCCAGTAACACTAGTTTGAGTTCGCTTTTGTTTTTCCATGAGACCATCCAGTACACACCTGGTCAAACCTGCTTTTCCAGGTAGTTAACAATAGTTGTTGACTATAATGGAACTTCACGTACAGCATCGCCTCTTATAGACAGCCTCTTCACTATCTGTCCTATAAACGCAAATGGGTGCGCCCGCTGTGATAAATGCGATGAAGAGCTAACCTGCGTAAGGTGAGGCGTGGAGGAACGAGGCGTCATGTGTTTGACGCAAAATACGAATCGTACTACGGCGAAGGACATCTCATGAATATTAAATTAGCAATACTGACGTTCGCCGACAAACGTCCAATGTCGACGGATGAGCTCGTGAATATGAATTAGGAAACGTAGCGTTGCGTTTTTAACTCCTGAATATGGAAACACCCTCGCCATAGTACGATTAGTAACAACGCGCCTCGATATCGTCTCCGTCACATCAGCTCCGCAATACAGGCAGGAGACGAACAGGAAATTATTACTCTAATACAGCTGTAAGAGTGTTTGCTCTCGTTTATTTTTAACAAACAAGTGTTTTTTTTTCTGTAGGCTACCTGTGTTAATTATCCCACCTATCTTTTTCCAGCAGAGACAATGCTTCAGTGTCTGTCGGGAAGTTCGTGTATGCGTGTCATTGACGGTTACAAGTCTACGTGGTATTTCTTAGTTCTGGTGCTGGCGTATGTTTTATATCTTATCTTCGGGGCTTTGGTGTTTTCCGCGGTGGAGCTGCCGTATGAAGAGCAGCTTCGACAAGAGCTTCGGACAGTGAAACAGCAATTTCTGGAGGACAATGAATGTCTGTCCAATGACAGACTGGAAGAGTTTCTGATCAAAGCGTTAGAAGCGAGTAATTACGGTGTGTCGGTTCTTAATAATGCCTCCAGTAACTGGAACTGGGATTTCACTTCAGCGTTGTTCTTCGCCAGCACTGTGCTTTCCACGACAGGTAAGATTAAGAACACACTTTCTTTAAATCTTGAGTATTAAACAGCACACAGTGCACGATATAGACTTTGTATTGTAGCCCAGTTGTTGATTTACATGATATACAGTAGGCTAGTGTGTCATCAGTAAGTCTACAATCATTTACACTAGATCAATGACAGATGGGGCCAGTGTGTGATGATATCATCTGTGAGGTCGATATGTCCTCTCTGAGACCTCTGGTTAAAGCATCCATTCAGCAGACGGATGGAAGCTTGGATAGTCTTGTTTTATAGCTGAACAAAGGCAATGTTATTTTATATTTGTACAAGCTCTAAGTGAGCTTTAAACAAGGATATAACTTTAGTTAAGAGAGCTGCATTTGAACAAAGAGCTCTCTCCCTCCATAAAGAGTCAAAAGTCAACAAAGCTTTATGGTCTGTTTGTTAGCAGTTGTAAGATACAATAAAGCACTTGTACTAAATACAGGAAATAAAAGTGAGGTAAATAAAGTACTTGTATATCCTGCTAACTGGGCAAGGTAAAAAAAGGCTTCAAACTCATTGTATATTGTTATATACTCTTGGTATTTATTTGTTAATTAAATATAATACAGTAAGAAATTAACACTCAAATGTATAATTATACTGGTATTCTACGTGGACCATGTTGCTCTAATTGGCTTCATTATCATATTTTGATTCAACAAAAATCACATTTTGTTAAGTGACTAACAGTGTTATTGTAATTGAGTTAACGTTAAAAATATCGATGTTAAAAATATCAACATTAGACTACTTCTCATAAGCATACATAAAAGTACGAGGTAAGGGGGGGTTGTATTATATATATGTATGTGTACATGTAGGATAAAAAAGTTGTTTGATAAATTTTTTTTTGTTAAACATCATGGTAATAACTTATGATTATTATTAATAATAATAGCAAACTTTATTAATTAGCTTGACTTTTCCAGGTCTAGAAATCACACTTAAGAAGTCAAATGAGCCACTTTCCTTAATAAGCAGTTTTTTTTACACACTATTATATATTTTTTATTCAAATAAGTTTCAAAATCCAGATTTTTTCTTTTTTTTAATTTGTTTTAGCCCATTTTATCCCCATAAATAAACATGACTATAATTAAATTATTAATATTGTAAGGCAAATAGGCAATTCAAGTACACTCCCACATATTCATACTGCCTATAGAGCCCTTTTGCTTTTGTAATTAATTGAGCTGTAACTATTTGAAGGGTGTCTGAAGGATATTCAGGGAGTGTGTGTAGTGTTTCCAAGGATTATGCAACTTAATCCAGCAGGATTTAGGTTTTACAATGGGCAACACCCTTGACGTTCCTGCATGGTGACTTTTCATTATGTGATTAAAGGGATAGATCACTGCACAATTAAAATTCTCTGTTGTTTATTTTGTAATGTCACAAAGTACATTGTTAATAGTAATACTTTTTCACCATCTCTATGAAAGCAATATTTTGCCAACAGAGAGATGCAGAAATGTGTATAATAGCATGATGAAAAAGTTGCAATCTTGAAAGTGCAATGTTTAGAATTTGTGTTTTATGTAGCAATATTGTAAGTTGCCCTGTCATTTTTAAATATTTGAGTATTTTTGAAAAGTGTTTTTTTCATTAATATTTATTTTATATTCAAACTTTTCCACTGAAGTTCTTAAAGTTATAAATAAATCATATATGAATGAGTAAATTTTTGAGTAAATACTTAAAATGTAAAAAATAAATAGTCCTTTTCACAATCTCAATATATGTAAACAATTAATTGGTTGAATTTACAAAGATCTAGATTGTGATATATATATATATTGTCATCAAAATATGACATGACTATTATAATATGAGATTCTTGTCATATTACCTAGCACTATGTCCACTTGTTCCAAACTGGTTTGAGTGTCTTTCTTCTGTTGAACACAAAAGAAGATATTTTAAAGAATGTTGAAAACTGGTGTTGCCATTGACTTTTATGGTATATTTTTGGATATTCTCTATTGATGTGAGTGGTCAACGAATTTTCATTTTGATTATCCCTTAAACTGTCCCTTTAAGCATGTATTTAATTTTGGGTAAATGCTAAATGTGATTGTCTCAATACAGAGGAAACCTTTTTAAATAACCTCAACATATTTTTATTTTCCAGGATATGGGCACACTGTCCCTCTATCAGATGGAGGTAAGGCCTTCTGCATCATTTACTCAGTGGTGGGAATACCGTTCACCCTGCTGTTCCTGACGGCGGTGGTCCAGAGGATCATGGAGTTCAGCACTCGCAGGCCCATAGAGTTCCTGCACCGGCGATGGGGCACCTCCAAACCTCTGCTGGCTGCCATGCACGCCACACTACTGGCCATTATAACTGTCTCCTGCTTCTTCCTCATACCTGCCATCATCTTCTCTGTGCTGGAGGAGGAGTGGAACTTCCTGGAGTCCTTCTATTTCTGCTTTATCTCTCTTAGTACCATTGGCTTAGGGGACTATGTGCCAGGAGAGGGTTACCATCAGAGGTTCCGAGAACTTTATAAACTGGGCATTACTTGTAAGTATACAATCAGATTTATTATTACTGATGTACAGAGATGTACAGCTATGGGAAACTTAAGAGAGACAATCTCTCTGAATTTAAATGGTAAATTTATACATTATAGAGTGCTCAGCATAATTGAGTACACCCCATTTTGAAATAAATATTTTTATCCTTTTTTTTCTGTAAATATGGGTAATATATATTGGTGCATTTTAACAAAACAGATTTATAAAACAGATATATTTATTAAAATACTATTTTGGTCACAGAAATTAAAAAATAATACATTTAAATCTATGCAAAATATTGTGAAAAAAATCAACAAAATTGTGTATTTTTTTTGCTTCTCTTGACTTTTGCTATTTTTAAAAATGTGTTTTAATATTTTTCTATAACATAAATATGGGTGTACTATTTTTTTGGACCATTCTAATAAGTTAATTTGTTAGGAAAGCCTTTAGATTTGGCTTCAGTACTAACTAAACTAATGTATATGCACAAATATAATATTGTAAAGTAACCTACATAGAAAATATTAATTTAAATGAGAGATTTGTGAGGGGTGTAATTATATATGCTGAGCACTGTATGCGTGTAAATGTATGTGCATTTTTATGTATATTTGTGTGTGAATTTAATTTTGTAAGGTCTGACATAATTTTTTTCAGTTTAAATAATTTCATTCAGAGTGCTTTTGTTATTTTCTTCAAGCAAAAGAAACATTCTCAAATGTTGAAAATCAGGATTATTCCACCAATTATTGATTTCTAAACTTTTCATTCATTTTCTTTTTGGCTCAGTCCCTTTATTAATCTGGGGTCGACACAGTGGAATGAACCACCAACTTATCCAGCATATTTTTTATGCAGCGGATACCCTTCCAGCCACAACCCATCAGTGGGAAACATTCACACACAATCATAAAGTATGGTCAATTTTTTAACTGACCCAATTCACCTGTACCGCATGTCTTTGGACTGTCAGGGTTAACCAGAGTACCCGGAGGAAACCCACACCAAGACGGGGAGAACATGCAAACTCCACACAGAAATGCCAACTGATCCACCAGAGGCTAGAACCAGCGAGTTTCTTGCTGTGAGGCAAACATGCTACCCACTCCGCCACCATGTTGCCATTTCTAAACTTTTCTAATGTTAAAATTTTGGGATTGTCCTGTCTAATTATGAATATAAACATGTCTAATCTTTAAAGGACAACATGTTTATTTTTAATTGGGAATAAATGCAATTAGTAGTTTTCAGATATTATGACCCAAGTCTAGGGGAAAACAACATGGGCATATTAAATGAAATAAGGTTGTGATTGGTGGATTTCTCAAGTGAAAACAACAAAAAACGTATGCAAAAGATCCCCTTCGGTCGACAACCAATCGCAGACACTCCGTTGAGAGTAATTGAACAGATTTATTGTAGAAAAAAAAGAAGCAATTAAATAAGCATCTCTTCAGGGTGGCCACTGGTCATAATAACAAACAAAAGAATCTGCAAAGTAAATAAACTAAATACAGGGTGTCTGCTGGGTCTTAAAATGTCTTAAATTTCAAAAACAAAATTTTAGGTCTTAAATTCACTGAAATGTTATGTTGTAGGTCTTAGTTTTCCTGTCCAAGTAAAGCTACCCAATTGGGCTGACATCCATCCTATCACCAGCAATCCATCTTAATAAAATCAGGGAAAGAAAACTCAAAACAATTACACAGTTCCTCGTGATTATAAGAAAAATGCATTAGGTTGAATGAAATTTATGCTTTTGTACCAAAAGCCAAAAAATATATATTTGATTATTTATGTAATTGCCTCCACAATAAATATACTTTTTAATAATGTTAAACAAGCCATTTAAAAAAAGAAATATTATGTTGAAAGTAGTGTATACAACTAGAGTTTTCTTGATTTGTCACTTTATAGTATGTTGCTAAGAAATAATTACATTATTATGGCAAACAATAATCATTAGTGTTTAGCCCTTTATAAGTCTAAAATTTCATTCATAATGGTCTTAAAAGGGTCTTAAAAAGTATAAAATTTGACTTGATAAAACCTGCAGAAACCCTGTAAATGTCCCTAAACATACCTCCCTACCTCCCTAAACATAAACAAAGTCAAAAGTAATCAAAATAAACAGGCAGACCACCCATACAATAACAAACTCTCAGAAAGTTGCAAGCATTCATGGACATTTTGACAAGAATAAAGTTAAAGGCGGGACAAAGGAAAAGACAGAATACAGTGCGAAACAAAAATAAATACATAAATAAATGTTAATAGTAAATAAACAATAAAATTAAATATATATTCAAGTATAACTATGAATGCTAAATGCAAAGAATTGAGTTGAATTGTTTTTTAGATATCCGAAAGAAGCCTCTATGTTCACCAATGCCATTTTTGATAGAAAATACAGTAAAAGTATCAGAATTTACAATTTCATTACAATAAAATGCATTGTCATGAAATTACTAAAACAATTAATTGGGCAGAAAACCCTACATTATCATTGTTTTTTACTCCAGCTGTCTCTCTCATTTACAGTCTACCTGATATTGGGCTTGATCGCTATGTTGGTGGTTCTGGAAACCTTCTGTGAGCTTCAGCAGCTGAAGAAGCTCAGGAAAATGTTCTACCTGAGGAAACAAAAAACGGAGGACCAGCTAAACATCGTAGATCACGATCACCTCTCTTTTGCCTCTGTGTCCGACCAGGCAGCCTCATTCAGAGAGGATAAGACTGAACTGTTTCCTGATGATATTGTGTCCGGCTCACCTACTGCTACCTCTAATGGATCACTGGAGCGATGAGTCTTCCCTTATATTCATTAACTTTTCAAAAACATTTCCATTAAGAGCATAATGTATTGTTAGTGTACTCTGCTGTCAAGTTAACTAAAATCTACTATAGATATGAATACTTGAAATACAGACTAAAGGTAATTTATTGCAAAACATTTGTATAAAACACAATGGCCACATACTCACTATAGCTAAATTCAGTAGTTTATGAGAGTGACAAGCATATTCAGCGAACCAATTTAACTAATTTAGATTGGAACAAAAGCATTCACAGAAATGTTACCAGGGTTGGGACGATAAATCAAGAACTCATTATGCATCAGCAATTTTCATATTTTTAGAATGCATCTTAATTCTTTCTGGAATGTATTGTCCCAGTGCAAGATTCTACACAGTGTGTTGAACCAAACACAACAACTAGTTGTCAAACCAACATTATGTACCTTTTTTAACCTTATAAATAATGACTCAAATTATTTCAGCAATATTGGTTCACCAAAAAGGAAAATTCTGTTGTCATCTACATTTCTGGAGAGTTTCTTCTCCTGTTAAACATAAAAGAAGATATCTTAAGGCAAAGCTGGTAACCTGTAACCACAGATATCGTGTATTGGCCTTTCCTACTATGGAATTCAGTAGATACAGCTTATAAAAGGTCATAATTTAGTTTTGGGGGTCTCCAACAACAGGCTGATATGCATGCAAGGTCAAAAAATTATTTCATTGTCTTATAATGTGCATTTATTTTTACCGAATAATCCCAACGACTCCCATATGATTCGTTCAACGATTCATATATTCACAAATCCCTCCTTAGCGTGAAGCTAATCTGCTGTGATTGGACCAATGACCCAGTCTGGTGTGATTGGTCGACTGCGTTCAGCGATAGACAGAAAGAAACGCCCACCACTGTTATGAAGTAGCACAGAGTATGTGAGAGCCCAATGCAGGAATGCAATAAATCAATGCTGTTAAGTACCAGCATATTACTCTACTCTTAACGCTAACCCCAAGTAATAACAAGGACACACATTTAATATTAGTCAACACAGTGGCAAAAGTTAAACTATTTTTAAAAAATTGACTGCGCCGCGTGTGTGAGGAACAGCTGATGGTGGCCATGGGGACAAACAGCAGGAAGTTCAGAAATGCATTTTAATCGGTAAAGGAAGCTGCAGGTGTTGCGTTTTCAACATGGTTTTGGACACAATATTTGAATAGCCATAATTGTTTAACCAGAGAGATACAATACAAGCACTGATCTATAATAGATAAGTGATTACAAGACACGTGGGGCGATTACAACTTATAACACACAATTAAACACATATTTTGCAAACTACACAAAATGAGGCAAAAATTTTAATTACACTTGTTATGACCTGAAGGAAGAAGAAACTGGTCCATTTGAACTGTAACAGTCACTGACAAAGTTCCTGTTAAAGTCCCTTACATGATAGTCTCTGCTGCTCCGTCCTTTAATAGCAATTGGCCGGTGAATGCCACACTGCAGTGTAGATTATTGTATCAGAAATCAGAAAAACGTCAGGAACAAACAAAGCATTAGGTTGGCTATACTGTGTTGTTGTGAAAATGAACTTTAACCCTTTATTCCCCACATCTTCGCATCATGATCAGTCCCGTGATCCTCCGTGCTCCGCTAGTGTCTAAAGAGAAAGCGTGTTCACATTTTCCCGGATCTGGAACTACATATTTGGTGATGTACTGTATCGATGTTGACGCTTTCAAGCAAAAGATCCGAACTCAACTTGATTCATTTATTCAACACTGAGTGGACTATTTCGTTAAAGAGTCAATATTTTTAAACACGGTGCACTTTCAGTTTTAAACCTCAGATGGATGTTTTCATTTACTCAGTGCTGTGTTACACACAGCAAGGAAGGTCATTTTTAAAAACCCATAATAGGGTTAACAAAAGAAAGAAATCCATGAAGGTAAATAATTTTTTTGGGTGAACTATTATTGCTGAAATAACTTTAGAGTCATATACCTGAACAGCCTTCTGTCTCCTAAAACCACATTTGCAACTTTGGGTAATTGGGTAATTGTGAACCCTTCATCTAAACAATAGAAATATATAGGAATGTCTATGAGTGGAATAGTGCGGTTGCTATATGGCATATTTCATATTTTACTCAGATTAGTGTGATTTCACTCCTGGATCAGCATCCATGTTGGCCCTGAAACCATTCCAATCAACCAATCAGATTTCAGGGATACAGTTTATGTTAAAATTAGGCTTACATTTAGGATTATGTGCTTCTACATCATTGTTATCCAAATATTTATCCCCTAAGATTTAGGGAAAAATTGTGGGTAGGTTTATGGTAGGGATTAGGTATGGACTACATTTTCAAACAGGATTATGCTCCAGGAACAACATAGATGTTAATACAGGACCTTCATCCTATTTGACTGCTCAGCTCATGGCCGAGGCCTCATGGCCCAGTGTGAGTAAACATTCACTTTTAGTTAAACAGGACATTTTTGGGTAAACTTTAAATTGGCAATTCAATTAGCTTGATCCTTTACAGTGTGTATGTGGCCAAAATCACATTATATACCATTGTTCATGAAGCTACTGAACTGAGAAACATCTTGTGATCAGGGTTTGTGTGTGTATGTAACAATCCATCCGTCCTGTCTGAAAATAATAGTTAACTGGTGAGTGGTCCTAGACTAGGTCTATATATTCCATACGCTGTTCTTGTTAAGTGACTTTAATGGGATCACGTATTACCGATTTACACTTGTATTAATGTAAATCATGTTTTCAGGTTACTTACAGGTTAAGTTTGTAGATATTACTTAGTGTTGGAAAACATTCCATCTAATTGAAGGAAATCAGACATGTTTTATTTTTAAGGGCATCTTTATGCAAGTTTTGTTGTTGTGCTCAGAATTACTTGAAAGTCTGATTAATCCAAGTTTTTTTAAGCTTTGTCATAAACTCTGTCTGCCTTATATTTTTCTTCTACTAAATTCTTTTTGAAAAGACAGGGGCAGGTCCCTGGTGACATTATTTGTAAATGTTTTCCTTAATTAACACATGAAGGGAATTTAAATCTGTTTTAGGTAGAGGCATCAGACAATCAATAATCTGCTTGATACATTATTCTAGGGTGTTTATGTCTTGCGGGGTAATGTTGGCTCCTTTGAAGCAGTGGCGTATGTTGCATTAGGCATTATTCACTATCGCTAGGTGCTGTTGTGCATTAAGTGAGTTACTGTACTGTTGTATTGCACAGCAAAGAGCATTCAATTCATAATGAGTGACTTGGTATGTCCTGAAGGAAATGCATATTATTTAATCATTCATTTGTAGTTTTCAGTTATATATTGTTATTTTATTGCACATGCCTAAAGATGCTGAAATTTTTTCGTTTGTTGGATGTTTTAAGTCGCACTTTAACAAAACAATAAACTGGAGAATATAGTTTGGTTGTGTTTTTGAGCATTTTTCAACATATAACCAGTGGTGTAAAGTAACAAATGACAAATACTTATACTATTGTAAATAGTACTGTACTGGACTGTAAAGTACTTTTACTCCACTACTTTTCTTCAACATGCAGTCATTGGTTTATTTTTTCTTGTCTATGGTGATTAGAAAAATCAGTCCTGTGATTCCTGTCCAATCAACGTGCACATAGAAAGTAAATTGCATTATTATGAACTACCTCAAGACACGGGCAATTTATAATTGCAGCAAACTGTTTGGAAGCATTAAAAGTGTCCAAGAAGATGTCCAAAATCTTTACATGCATTGACCCAGAGACTGTTTAGATGCATGTCACTGATGAGAAGACGACGGATGTTTACTGTATTATGAATAAAATGGCCTTAAACAACCAGCTGACACAAGACATCAACATGAAGTCAAATTGACATTCAGGGTGTCCGCGGGGTCTTAAAAAGATTTAAAAGTTGATAAATCAATTGAGAAAATTAAGACCCTTAAAAGGTATCAAAACGGTATTTAAAAAGTCTTAATCGAATTTTTACAAGGTCTTACATTTTGTTTCAAGAGTTCACACTTGATGATTGATTATAAGCAAGTTTGGCATGCTGTCCCAGGAGAGAGCCCTGAGCTCAAAAGGTCCTTGAGCCCTGGGCTCCCCTCCGTTTGCAGGGCGAGAGGGGAGCCTTGAGCTCAGGTAGATCTCGACAACTCCTCCCTTCATATGATCTGATGACTAAAATGAATGCTATGAAGAGATATGCTGCAGGATGAGAGATTGACTGTAGTGCTAAATTTAGATTGATCAATTCACTTGTTGTGCATGTTTTTGGAATGTGGGAGGAAACCGGAGAACCCAGGGAAAACTCACGCGAGCATGGGAAGAACATGCAAACTACGCACAGAAATGACCGCCGGCCTGTTAATAGACTAGAACCAGTGACGTTCTTGCTGTGAGGCAACAGTGCTAACCACTGGGCCACCATGCTGCCCTATGGAGGGAAAGGTGAAGTGGTAGGGGTGGAAGGGGGATTCTTCCTGGATTTTTATAGTGGGTTAGGAATGGCCTGATTGGTGGATCATACATGCTAATGCAGAACCAGCCGTGTTCAATCATAATTGTGATCCTCTCGAAATTAGTTTATGAATAAACTTCACTTAAAGTGTTTGACTCCAAACAAGCCTAAATATATAAAATTGTCTTCCTCATATTAACAACGGCGTGCTCTATTGGCTCTTCACATGTAGCAAAACCATAGAGTGAAAAGAAGGCAAAAGGGAAAATTGTTGGAGAAAGATGAGTTTAAACAGTGGCTGAAGCTTGTTGCTGCAAAAAAACGCGTAATTGATCCTTTCAAGCATTGTTTCTTCTGAGCTCATCTGAGTTCTGTTGCATGGTTGCATGGTTGTGCTCTATAGATTTATTTACCTACAACGTGTCACCTTTGAATTATAAGGTTCTATCTTATATCTACATTTTTGTCAAAATTGAGTTATTGACACTCTTATTAAATAACAGCTTATTTACATAATGGAATGTTTTTTTAATAAGTTGTTTACATTTTAGGACTTTTTATTTAAAAAACAAATGTTCCACACATGCTGTTTGCTATATGGAATGCAAAAACTTTAAAGCTCATTTTC